GTTGGGGGTTATCTCTACCTCTACATACCATAGCCCTTTGGGGGAGGTATTATTATTCCAAGTTTATTGGGAAAGACACTAAATCACGAGGGATTAGATGACTTGCCCTAGGTCACACAGAGAGGAGACAGAATTTTATCACAGATGTCCGGACTCCAACTCCCATGCCCCATTGCACCAGCATGCGTGAGAGCGTTGAGAAAAGACCCTGAATGCAGACAAGCAAGACCCATTCAAAAATGTTCAAATGATATGGATGAAGTCAAATTTCTTCAACAAGACATGGCATAATTTATATAAACTAACTTTGTGAAATAGCGAAGTGTTACACAAAGATTACTTATTATTAAATAGTTTGTACTTATATAAAGAATACACCCATGTCTACATACCATAGAGTATGACTAGGTAGAATTACCTGCTGTCTTAGATCCAGAGCACTGCTCCTTCCTATCAAAGTATATAAATAAGAGCAAATTTTGTAACTTAGAGTCTTTCACTTATTTGGAAAGCTGGTGTCATCTTGAGGGGCCAGTATTTGGAATAAGAGGAAATCCAGATTAAAAGATATAAATCTAAGTCATACTTCTGTTCCCCACACGCTCCTTCACCCACTAGGAGGCAGCAGCAATGCTCTCTGTCCTGGTGACGTATAGGGTCACCATCTCCAGCCTGTCTGACATCTGGGGCCTCGGCTGCTCAGCCCCCTTCTCCATCAGACACGCAGCCAGCACCCTCAAGCCTTGCATGTCTGGCTGTCTGGCCAGCAGCTTCCCAAAGCCCAAGTCACAGCCCGTAACTAAGATGAACTTGTCTCAGAAGTGGCTCACCACATGCTCTCACAGCAGAGAAGGTAGCAGAGCTACATGCAGGAGTTTCTCCTTCCTCTTCAGTGGAAGAGAAATTCAGATCTTTCCTTTCTTGACGAAATTAGACAGGAAAACTGGCATTTCTCTATTTATATACAAAGCCCTTTGAGATGTCTCCTAAGTGGAGTCTCAATTCTGCCTTCCATAATTGTTTATTTGCAGTTCATTTTCATCTCCTGATTGAAATCTGTCCTTGACTATTAAATAAATACTCACAATTTTTTTTTTCGGTCTTCACCCCTCCTGCTTCATATCAGAAGTTCCAAATGGAACGTTTTGTTTGTTGTTCCAAGTTTGGCATTAAAATTCTCTATATCTGTTTGTTTTGGTGCAGAGGCAGCATTTACACTATTCTTGTATAAGAATGCTTCAAATGGGCTAGCCCAGCAATAGTTCAATGATCCCCATATTACTCTGGATTCCTCTCTCTCCTCCCACCACCCCTCATTTTTTGGATGAGGTTCACTGGAGATCAGGGAACTTGCTGAGACGCATGGCAAAAGCAAGCATGTCTCACAGAAGAGGCAACCACTGGAGGACAGAGGCCCCCTTGTCTTTGGGGGGAAAGACCTGGAAGAAAGGCCCAAGTGAGGCTGAGTAGGAGAGATTTCAGAAGGTTCATGGAAACAGAAGCAAGCCATATCACAATTGCTGGCCATAAAATCCTGTTGTAAATGAATGTGTACAGAAATGCTCCCCAGGATGAAATCAGCAAATAAAGAATGACATAGTCAAAGAATAGGATCCTAGAACTTGAAGGACCTGCTCTGCCATTTGCTTATAGATTATGTAATTACCCTCTCTGGGTCTCAGTTTCCTCCTCATTAAAACTGGAATAATAATACCTACCTTTCAGAATTAGTGTGAAGATTAAGGTGCTTAGAACAGTGCCTGGCATATAGTGAGCACTGTGGAAGTGTGTGCTATTGTAGTGTGTGGTGAACTACGAGGGTGGAGGCCTGACTCTGCCACTTATTAGCTGTGTAATATTGTACAAATTACTGAGCCTCTCTGAGCCCCAGTTTCCTCTTCTATAAAATAGGAGCAACCTCACAGGACTTTTTGCAGAGATTAAAATTAAACAGATAATGTATGGAAAACACTAAGCACAGTGCTTAGAACTGAGTAAATGTCCAATAAATGCTAGTTGTTATTACTTCTATTGTTTTAGTGTTACATTTCTCTCATCATGTCTAGACTTACTCCTCTTGTTCCCCTCCAATCCAGTTTGTCCCAATTTATTTCCCAATGGCAGCAAAAAAGTAAATAACCTATAGTGACAGCAAGCACATCAGTGGTTTTCTGGAGCCAGGGCAGAGGGGAGGGGAAATTAACTACAACTGGGCACAGGGGAACTTCCTAGGATGGGAAAAATGGTCTACATTTTGACTGGTGATGGTGGCACAGGTGTATTCATATGTCAAGACTCATCACACTGTACACTTAAATAAATGCATTTATTTTTATGTAAACTTTACCTCAAAGATGTTAATCAACGTTATAAAAAAAAAAGGTAAGCAGCTTCCCCTGTCATCTTCTACATTACTACATTTTCTCTTCTCCATGGAACTTATCAGTATATAAAATTATTTCATTCTTTCTTTATCTATTGCTCAACCCCTCCCTCCAATAGAATATAAACTCTTTGAGGGCAAGGACTCTGTCTTATCCCTGACTGTAATTCCAGAATCTAGAACTATGCCTGACACATAGTAGGAGCATGAATAAATTCTTCTTGACACTCTAACTGATTAAAATCCATCAGTGGTTCTACCTCCAAATTATATACTGATTTCATCCATTTTCATAATTCCTGCTACCACCACTTTAACCTAGGGTACCATCATCTCTTGCCTGGATTATGCATTGGCCTCCTTGTGGGTCTCCTTGCTTCTACCATTGCAGAGATTGACTCATTTAAGTCTCCACAGAGCCCCTATAGTAATCTTTTAAAAATATAAATCAGATTACATTACTCTCCTGCTTTTAAAAAAAATGTGGTTATATAATGATTAAGAAGCTGAAAAAGTGAACAAGAAAAGGAAAGGCAATTTAAAACTCTAGGAAAATGCAAAAGCTATATAAGAGAGGTCATGGTCCTAATATGAGATGAACTAAAATATAATATTGGAACAGATATGAATCTTAGTCCACAAATTCAAAAAATACCTCAACTATTAATGGTGAGGTAGAGGAGTGGCTCTCAGACCAAAAAATAAGTCTTGTATCTGCACAGGTTACTACTTAAATGTCTGCTATCCCAGTCTACACGCCCTTCTTGTGTGGCAAATCTCAGCTGCATTCTTGCCATAGTGGGACACATGAGTCTTTTGTGAAGTCATCCAAGGTCTCTTCTACTTAAAGACTCTCTTGAGTCTTGCCACTTCCCTAAGGTGCTTCCAAGAGGTGAGCCCTGGTCCCTCCTGCTTTGGGAGCTCCAAACCTCACCCCCTTGTCTCATCAGCCAGAGTAAATCTCCTCATCATAGGGGAAAGGCCCTGCTTCTCTAAGACACTGTGTACACCACAAGTCACATTGCCTTTTGCTTCTTTCCCCAAACTCTGCAATTCTTCTAAAGATATTAGGGTTGGGGAAAACTACAGCTGGAGAAAGTGCAGGAAATTTATGTATTCTGTCCTGCCAAGCATCTCACTCCAGGTAAAGAAGTACCAAATTGGCTACCTACTTGAGTGGGGAAAAGGGGAATAGGAAAACAATGAGTGACAAAAAGTGTAAATTAATATCTCAAAATATCATCTAGCCATAGCTTCTCCCTAGCAAATCTTTGTGTTTTCAACAAAGAAAATTTATTTTTGGCCTTTGTTTAACCCTTTCAATAGCATAGAGGTCTGAGTTTTGAATTTTCTAGGGCAGTAGGTATTGTGACTGATTCTTCAACATCCCCATTCTGTCCCCTGATTAAGCAATTCATGGCACTTTACCCCCTTGTCAGTGATTGCTTCGTGGATAGGCAAGTTTAAGTCAATTTGTGTCAATGGGATTTGAGGGGAGCCTTGATGAGGGCTATGGGAAAGAAACTTTCTCAGTCTTAAACAACATGGAAAGATAGGTTTTTTCTTCTATAAGTTATGAATGAGGAAGCATAGAGTTTCCATTGCTGCTGTCAGTCATACCATAATGATAAAGGATAAAGCTAAAACTGTGGTGGCAGAGCAAAGAAGTAGAAAGACCCTACATCCTTGATGCTGTCATTCTGCCACTGGGTCCTGCCCTCATTCGTTATTATTTAAGCCCATGCGATTGGGCTTTTCTGTTACTTGTTGCTCAGCATTCTACCTGATTCAGAATGTGGTGCCAGGAATGGAAGTGCCGCAAATAACAGATTGTAGTGGGTTCATAGCGGCACCCAAAAAGGTATGTCTATGTGCTAATCCCTGGAACCTGTGTTAACTTATTTGGAAAAAGACTTTTTGTGGATATAACTGTTACATTTTCTTATTTTCACGTTCAGCCAGATGCCGAAGAGACACAAGTTAAAGACATTTTAATTTTAAAAAATTTCACATTTGACCTTTATTACATGACCATTCATCAAGATCAAAAGAGTCTTTTCAACAGAACTTCATATGACCTAGAAATTTAAGGCTTCTTTTTTTTCTAAAAATAAAGTTCCATGGCTTATTTCACAATGTTACTAATTTAAGAAAGTGATTGTCCTGTAACTAAAAAAAGAACTCTGGTCTGAGAGTTGGAGCATCTGAGTTTTGTCCCTATGGCCACTGAGCTGGGGGGTCTTGAGTTGGTCAATTGCCCCTCTGAGCATTGGTTACTTCTTCTCTGGAACTATCAGTGGCTCCCAAGTGCCCATGTACATCAGAATCATCTAGGTCTTTGTTACAAATACAGATTTCTGGGCCCTATCCCAGGGTTACAGAATCAGATTTTCTAATGTTGGGGCCCATGAATCTATATTTTTAATTAACTGGGTGACAATGGTATGCAGACAAGTTTGGGAACTATTAGATGATGACCTCCAGAGTTCCTCACAGCTCTAAAAATTTGTTTTCTGATTTCTGTTCCTTCTATCACTGTTCGTTCTACCTCTGTTACTAGATATTGTGCTAAAACAAAACACAACACAAAATAAACAATAAAAAACCAAGACAGAGGTTTAATCATCTTTATATCTCCCCAGCACCTACACGGTGCCTGGTGGGTAGTAGTCACTCAATAAATATTTGAAGAATTAATTCAGTGGTGATTAAATAAATGAATATTATTTAATGTGGATCCCAATCCCTGTGGACAGAGAAATCGAAAAAGAGAGAAAATATTTTAAACTTTTATGTGATATAATCTTGCATATCTACTATGTACTTCAATAATGGGTTATGTGAATGAGGTTAGTGCATATTTAAAGACCCAATAGGAAGGTGGTTGAGAGTCTTCCATGGGTTAGATTATCCTACAGTGTTTTCCAGTGGAAGTGACAGCCGAGAGGGGCTCATGATTCAGCATGAGCTGGTTTTCCTCTCCTTGACTTTTCCAGGTCCAGAAAAAGGCATATCCTGCCTGGGTGGCAGATGTCCCTGGGGCCATGCCACAGGTCTCTGAACCTGCAAAGGCCACCTCAGATTTCTGTGGGGCCCTGGTGGGTGGGAAGAGGCACTCATCTTCTGTTAGAAGTTACTGGTAAATTCACCAGCAGTGGAGGTCAGCTGAGCAAAGTGTCCCTTACAGCCAGAACATCTCTCAGGACGTCTGACACTACCTCTTGTGGCCCCAAAGTCCTTTCTCCCTCCCCAGCCCTTCACACTCTACCCATCACCCCTTGAACTTCCCCAGCTCAGACACTGTCTGCTGGCCTTGGAAGGTACCGGCTCAGGATGAAATCTGTCACAGGGGTGGGCAACTTAGCCAGGGGGATGTAGAGGAGTTTGGCATCCAGGCCAGGGCTGTAGCGGATGCGGGGGCTCCGGGAGACAACAGCGTGTTCCATGCTGTTGATGACATCTCTGATTCTCGGCTCTGCCAGCTGCATCATGTGTTCTAACTTGTCAGTGTCTGTTTGAGGGTACAGAGGGGAAAAAAATGAAAGGCCCTGTTATTTTTCATAAAAGATGGTTTCTTCTGAATTCCATCCAGGCTCCGTTTCCATAAGTTCCCTGATCTAACATTTCAGGCAGGTCTGCCAGACCCTCCAGGTTGTCCCTTACACAAACACCATTTATAACATTATTATAGATAAAATTATTTCTCTTCCTGAATCCAGCAATTGTGCATTGAGTTCCTACTATTGCATTAAACTAGCAACGAGAACAGCTGTGCCCAGTTCTTCTTATAACTGTGCTACTTGTCAGTTGTATGGCTTTGAGCTTAAACTTCCATTATCTATAAGATGAGGATATTAATACCTTCCCTGGACAATAACAAAGATGATTAATAGCAGGGTAGGTGGTGGGGAAGAACAGGATAGGAAATATGTGTATAGAAAAATCGGAAGGAAGGGAGTAAAAATATTGTCTGGCTGGTAGTATTATTCCTAGCTACTGGAGGCTTTTTTTCTTTGACTGGTAAGGGGATTGCAACCCTCGGCACGGTGTTGTCTGCACCACGCTCAGCCAGTGAGCGCACCGGCCATCCCTATATAGGATCTGAACCCGCGGCCTTGGCGCTACCAGCCCCGCACTTTCCCGAGTGAGCCACGGGGCCAGCCCTGGAGGCTTTTTTTCTATGTACTTCCTAGTGTTCCCACATTTCTGACAAAAGCATTTAGGAAAAAATGTTATTAAAAATAGTAATATTGTCCCTGCCTTGGTCACAAGGCCATTTTGGACTCAAATGATTTAAGGCACAGACAGGTAGAGCCTTGTAAGGCTCTGACAAATGCATTGTACACACAGGTGTGCAGATGGGTACAGGGCACCCAAGTGACACACGTCTGCAAAAACTCACAACGTAAATAGGAGACAGGCCACATGGTGCACTCAGCAGGCCCTGATCTGCACTCTCATCCCGGGACTCTGAAACAGGGGCAGGTTGGAGGGATTCATACTTCACTGAGAGCCACGAGAACTGAGGAGAAAATGGTGCCTGAGAGTCAGACTTCCCTGATAAGGGATTAAACCTTGAAAACAGAGAGGGAGCAAAAGCTGCCCCGACTTTGGGAATGGTCCAGAAAGGCAGAGAATTCACTCCTCAGGGTCAGCACCCTTGTGGGTGTTTGGTGAGGACAGAGCAGTGTTGCTTCAGTACGCTTCACCCCAGACTCTGAGGAATTCCCATTCTGTGTCCTGGAGAAAAAACTGTTGCAAACTACATTCTGGGGTTCCAGAAAGAGCCACATTGCTATGGTTTAAATGTTTATCCTCTCTGGAACTCATGTTGAAACTTAATCCCCAATGTGGCAATATTGAGAGGTAAGGCCTTTAAGAGGTGAATGGTTCATCAGGGAAGAACAATTAAATCCATTTGTGGATTAATGGATTATCACAGAAGTGGAACTCGTAGCCTTATGAGAAGAGGAAGAGACCTGAGCGAGCATGCCCAGCCCCCTTGCCATGTGGTGCCCTGCCCTGCCTCAGGACTCTGGAGAGAGTCCTCACCAGCAACAAGGCCCTCACCAGATGCCCTCTCTCAACCTTGCACTTCCCAGCTTCTGGAACTGTAAGAAATAAATTTAATTTCTTTATAAATTACCCAGTTTTAGGTATTCTGTTATAAGCAACAGAAAATGGACTAAGATACACACTAACTTTAAGCCAGAATGTCTATAGAGCAATAATGTCTCAAGAAGCCAACATCTTGTCCTCCAACCCCAGGCCTGGCATGGAGTCCACCACCAGCTGAGCCAAGGTGGGGAGGCAAGTGTCGAAAGAATTCCTCAGGATGCTCAGAGCTACTCTCAGTACCTAAGAGCCAGAGAAGCTGGGCAGAGCAGTTGAGGCAAGCTGACATGATGAAGATGGTTTGGGGACTAGGCTCTGAAAGGCAGGGTGGAGGAAGGTACCCAGTCATGAGAAGTGCTGTGAGGCACTTTCTTTCATTGTTCTCTTGAATGTTTATTAGCTCCTACCTTGTGCTGGGCACCCTACTAGGCATGGAGTGGGAAGGGAGACAAATGTACCCAGCTCGCCCCTATTACTGTCCTAGACAGAGAGGAAAGACACGGACTTTGGATTTGGGCACCATGGAAAATGTTTTTGTTATTGTGAGGATTAAGCAAGATAAAGTCTGTAAAGTACCAGGGACTGGACTTTGACACATTATATGGCGCCAATAGCTGAGTTTCTGTCCCCTTCTCCTTTGCCAGAGACAGGTCCTGGGATTCTTCTCCCCAAGAAGAAAGGGGGACTAAAAGGGGAATTTTTGATAGCCTCTGCAGCAGAGTTGAGATGAAAAAAGAAGCTTGGTCAGGTGGCTGCACTCTCCTCGGCAATGTTACCCAAGCTGGGCTGTGGTTCATCTGCAGATCTGTTAGGACAAGAATACCATTCTCTGTTCGCCTGCCTGTTCTAGTGAGTCTATGTGCCACTTCTGTGGGAATGTGCCCCTTCTGTGGGAATGTGCCACTTCTGTGGGAATGTGCCCCTTCATGTCAATTGCTATTAACTAGCCATTTCCAATATGATTCTATTTTGGGTGTAGTTAAAGATGACTCCAAGAAATCTGGGGCCTGGTCCTGGGGCTCACGAGCTGTTTGGCTGGCCACAGCAACTTGCTGGTTTGTGTCCAGTGGTGCTGTGTGACCACTCCTAAATATTTCTTCAAACTGTCCCACAGTCAGCCCCCTGTCCCCCCGTCTCCCCCCACCACTTCCCACCACCACCGTGGTTTTTAACTTCGTGTCTTTACCATTCCTCCCCTGGGTTTCTGCAGCAGCCTCCCAGCTGGCCTCTATCCTGCCCATAGCAACACAAATCTGACCAGTCATTCAGACCCATTTTAAAGGGTTCCCATTCCTTCTGGATAAGATCCACACTCTTTAATGCAGCCATCAAAGCCTTTCATGATCTGATCTCTAACTCTCCTGCCTCAATCACCACCACAACCAATTCATGCTTCACTCTCGACAGACTAGTCATAACAATAGCTAAGGTTTGTTGAGCTCTTCCTACAGCTGAGCCGAGTACTTTACATTCTCCTCACAATCTGTGAGAGAGGAATTGTTATACTTTATAAATGGATAAACTGAAATTTAGAGAGTTGAGGGACTGGAATCTAAACCCTGAATCCACTGCCTCCAAAAGCACAGGTCTCTCAAATGGTGCTCGTGTTCTTCCTTCTGTGGCGAACATCTGCCATCTCTTTCCCTGTGGTGAGCTCCTACTCATCCTTCAAGACTCACTAAGGCATTAATTGTCACCTCAGTGAGGCTTTTTTTTTTCCTTTTTGTCTTTTTTCGTGACCGGCAACGGATCGCAACCCTCAGTGTCGCGCCCGTACCAGACCGGGACCGGCAACGGGATCGCAACCCTCGGTGTTGCTCCCGCCCCTCGCTCAGCCAGTGAGCGGCCAGTCTGTATGTGGGATCCGACCCCTCGGTGGGAGCGCCACCACGCTCCCCAAGCGGCGCACTGTAGCAGTGCGCCACCGGGCCGGCCCTCAGTGAGGCTTTTTTTTTTCCTTTTTGTCTTTTTTCGTGACCGGCAACGGATCGCAACCCGCAGTGTCGCGCCCGTACCAGACCGGGACCGGCAACGGGATCGCAACCCTCGGTGTTGCTCCCGCCCCTCGCTCAGCCAGTGAGCGGCCAGTCTGTATGTGGGATCCGACCCCTCGGTGGGAGCGCCACCACGCTTCCCAAGCGGCGCACTGTAGCAGTGCGCCACCGGGCCGGCCCTCAGTGAGGCTTTTTTGACAGCAGAGTTATATCTCTGTACTGTGAGTCTGTGTCGTACTCACGTCCACTACTGCCCAGTGCTCCGTGTGGTATAGGATTTGCTTCTAGATCTCCCCTGCTAGATTCCCAGAGACTTTGTCTCATCTCTGTATCCCAATAAACACTCAGTAAATTTTTCTGAAAATTTTTCTCTAAAATCATGATGTAGATTACAGATGAATAGGCCCATGGTATTTTACAAACTCAATCAGTGCTATTCTTTAGAATAACAATACCAGATTTTTGACAAGTGGTTTTCAGAAGTAGTTTGCCTTTATACATATTCTTTCATGAACCACACTGAAGACTTTACAACCTCTGCTGCACTGAGTACTTAGAAAATGGCTCTGTGAAGTTTTCAGACACTGGCTAAATCTGTGTTTCATTCCAGCCTCATAGCAGCCCCATAAATAATTTGGATCATTCTTTGCTAAGGGAGTTTTAGGATATTATTCCTTTCCATCAACATCTACTTCCCTTGTTCCCAACAGCTGCAGATTTCCCTTCAGGAGTCCGTGCCTCCATGTCCTTTGGTCTGGGCAGAGCACGTGATCCAGCCTGACCCAGTCAGACCATCACATTCCCCAGGGCTTAGTGATTGGCTCAGGCCTGGCATATCCCACAGTTCTCTCTAATCCAGCCACCACAGGCCTTCCAAGTCAGAGTGAACATTAGGACTTTTAGCAGAGCTACTGGAAAGACGCTCCATTTTCCTCAGTAGACCTCGCCCTGGCAGGAGGTGCGGAGATGCTGCAACCATGTGGCCCCCACAGGGGGAGAGCTTGTGAGACTGGAGTCAATACAAAAGAAGCAGAGCCAATAGATAGGGTGAAATCAGGTCATAACAACATCATTTGTGGGCTGGATCAGGCTGTACTTAAAGCCCATTTTGCTCAACTTTTTAATCATGTGAGTCAAAAAAATTCCTTTTCTGGGCCGGCCCGGTGGCGCACTGCTACAGGGCGCCACTTGGGAGTGCGGCGGTGTTCCCACCGAGGGTTCGGATCCCACATACAGACCGGCCGCTCACTGGCTGAGCGAGGTGCGGGCACAACACCGAGGGTTGCGATCCTGTTGCTGGTCCCGGTCCGGTACGGGCGCGACACTGAGGGTTGCGATCCGTTGCCGGTCACGAAAAAAGACAAAACGGAAAAGAAAAAAAAAAATTCCTTTTCTGGGCCGGCCCGGTGGCGCACTGCTACAGGGCGCCACTTGGGAGTGCGGCGGGGTTCCCACCGAGGGTTCGGATCCCAGATACAGACCGGCCGCTCACTGGCTGAGCGAGGTGCGGGCACAACACCGAGGGTTGCGATCCTGTTGCTGGTCCCGGTCCGGTACGGGCGCGACACTGAGGGTTGCGATCCGTTGCCGGTCACGAAAAAAGACAAAACGGAAAAGAAAAAAAAAAAAAATTCCTTTTCTGCTCAAATAATTTGGGCTGGATTTTCTCTCACTTGTAACTGAGAAAGTTCCAACTGATGTAAGTCTTTAGGACATTTTTCTCCTCACAGAATTCTAACATGTCCAGAACCAAAAGATTACTTTCTCAGAGGAATACTTCTCCACATATTTTTCCCTGGATCTTCCCTAAATCAATGAATGACTGATACCTCTATCTGCCACTCATCCTTGATGGTTCCTTCTCCCCTGCCCCCAGTAGTGGCAAGTGTAATCCACACCTGGCATCCGCCAACTCCTGTCCAACTCCTCTACCTTCTCTCTAGTCCAAACCACTGTCATGGCTAGCCTGGAATACTGCAGCAACCAGAGCAGTCTTTTCTAATCGCAAATCGCATCCTTAAGCCCTGGTGTGCTTCGATGCTCTAACTTATCTTGTTCCCCCTCAGCTACTCCTAACCCCCGACTGCTACCCACCTGCTGGTTTCTTTAAAGTTCCTCAAAAGGAGTTTCCTGCCTCAGAGCCTTCCTTCAAAAAATGTCCCTGCCCATCCTTCCCTTTCCACTTTCCAGCAACGCCTAACTCTTTTTTTTTTTTTCCTTTTTGTCTTTTTTCGTGACCGGTAACAGGATCGCAACCCTCAGTATCGCACCCGTACTGCGACCGGCAACAGGATTGCAACCCTCGGTGTCGTGCCCGCACCGCGCTCAACCGGTGAGCAGAATGGTCTCTATATGGGATACGAACCCTCGGCGGGAGCGCCGCCCTCTACCGAGTGCGACACCGGGCCGGCCCCTAACTCTTAATCTTCCTGGAAGACAGCTGAGAGAAGCCCTTCCCTATGCCATAATCTGAATTGGGGCTCCAACTCCCAGCCCTGTTCTTCTTTCATAGCCCTGTGATTCTCCTCCGTGGCACTTGTCCACATTTGTCATCAAACATGTGTGTTTTTATTAACGTCTGTCTCCCCTACTGAACCTTAAGCTTCAGGCCCTGAGCGTGCTGCTTTGTCTACTCTGACTCCCCAGCCCCACATGGTGCCGGGCACATAGCAGGATCGTAGTAAAGCATGTATTAAGTGAAGAAATGTCCTTCTTAGTCTTGGTGTCTTGGATTTTTACTCAACCTACTATGTCCAGGAGAGCATGTCACTAAAATAACCCCCTCTGGATAGTTAAAGACCTGCCACAGATTTGATTGATCAATTACATTTAGTCCATCCAGAGTTTCTGGATACATTTCAAAAACTTATCACTTTAAATTTTGGATAATTACTATTTAAGGAACTCTCTGCAATACAAGGACTTCTAGCTTGTAGGTACTAGTGTAGTGGAGAAAAGGAGGCCACACTCAGTGTAAGAAAAGATAATAACAACCACCACAAATGTTTAAGTCAAATTGTTCTTAACAGGGACCAAGTGCTATTCTATGCACTTTATATATATACTAATCCATTTAATTTTCATCCCTCATGGCAGATGAGAAAACCGAGAGGTTAAGTAACTTTCCCAAGGCAAGCAGGCAAGCTGCAATTTGCACCCAGGCAGCCTTGAGACTCTAAGAGCTTAACCAAAGCAGAACACTGCCTCTCTGGAAGTCAAGGAACCCAAGTAAAAGAGGAAAAAAGAATCTGGGTTAGGGAAATGTGGGACTAGGTGGCTGAGGCCCAGAGTGGGCAGGAACAGGGCTGGGAGTGTGGCTGCTCCCCTCTGGCTTGAGGGAACCCTCTTGAGACAGCAAAGTGCCAGCCTCGCCTTCCAGTCTGATGGCCCTGGCACAGAGATGCAATTGGAGAAGGGAGACAACCGTCAAGGGTGCCAGCTGATTGTGCCAAAGGCAGTTTCTATTGACAGAAGTTGCCCCACATAAGGGCGGCTACAGGGGAGCTCTTAGGGGCTGCTCTCCCTCCAGGCCCTTGGATGCATGAAATGGAGAGAGCTAGGAAGTCTTGTGGAACATCCCTTCCTGAAACCAACTGGCTCAGCTTTGAGATTAGATGGTCTGAGTGAATGTGGGGCCTTCTAGTCCTCAGAGTAGCCTTCTGTCTTCTACCAGGAGATTCTGCAACAGGACTTTTGAGCAATTCCTCCTCCGCTGCACCTCAGGCCATGTCCTATCATGTTCCCCAATGGCTGGGTTCCATTCACCCCCAAACTGGAAGTTACAAGCAGTGAGGGGCGAGCACGCTGCTTTGTTTCTTCCAAGTCCCCAGCCCCACACAGTGCCTGGCATATTGCAACCTCACAATAAAAGTGTAGTAAGTGAAGAAATGGTTGTCCTGGTTTTGCTGTCTTGACTTTTTACTCTGTTGATGTATGAGTTCCGACAGACAACTTTTGCTGCACAAAGTTTTGGGGCAGCACAGCAAACAGCTGTGATGTCTCTCCTCCACCCTTCAAAAATACTTAAAGTTCATAGGAGACCCTTAGCTCAGGGACAGAAAAGGAACTGCCTAAAGATCCTCCCTTTTAAATACCCACGTGCTCATTTTCCTCTATTTAACAAGCACTTAGAGTGCCTAAGATACTTTATACGTACTAATCCTGTGAGGTAGGCACTGTCATTACCTGCATTTTATAGACGAGAAAACTGAGGCATAGGGAAACTAGGTAATATGTCCAAAGTCTACTAGCTGGTAAGTGGTGGAGCCAGGATTTGGACCCAGGCAGTCTGGCTCTAGCAGCTATACTCTTAATCACTTCTCTCTACTTACCTCAGTGCATTTTCACCTGATCCACCTGCATAATGATGTTTTGGGGGCAGGTGCCAGGAGTGAATGTATCTCTCCTAACTCCCCCATCTCCCTGGCAGCTATGGTTCTGCCACAAGTTCTCTGTTCTCAATCCCCAGCTCTGCCACTAGCTGTGTAGCTTTGGGTCCTAGACCCTTCTCATTCTCTGTCTTACCATCTGTAAACCGAAAGCTGTGACCCCCAAGACCTCCCTGCCCCTCTCAGAAACCCCTCTCCTGCCCCGAGAACTTGCAGATGTGGAAGTACTCCTCTCCGTAGCTGTCCCGGGTCTCCTGAGGCAGCCGCTCCCACAGCTTTCGCATGCGCGACCCCATGCTTTCCTTGCCCAGAATGGATGTCCGGTAGTTCCCCGGCTCAATGATGCAGACCTTCACCCCGAAGTAGTGGAGCTCGCGCCTGGGAAAGAAGAGTTGCACTCTGTCTGGGCCCCAAGATGACAGTCATCAGGGCATGTCACCTCTGGAGGGGCCTGTCTCCCCAGGAACCTGGAGGCACTTCCTCCACCCCCGTACCTGGCCCAGGCATTACGTTCATGCAAATAAGCCCTTCTTAAGGGCCTTAGCTCTTTCCCAAGCTGGTCTAGGAGTATCTGGGCAATTTTCAGTAGGGAGGAAGTCAATAAGAATCTAGGCCAGGGCCTTGCCTCCCACCAAATCCCTCCCACTCTCCGCCCCATATCCAATACACAGTAAAGGAGGGAGGGGTCTATGCAAGGCCTGAGTCCTCCTCTGAGTGTCTCCCAGGGGCACGCTTTCCCCCACTCCTCTCCACTTATTTGGGGGACCCTCCCTCCTTCTCCCACAGGCCCAAACAAGGTCTCAGTCATTCTGGAACTGTTCAAGAGGAGGCCCACCTGATGACTCCTGCCTCCAGCCCACCTTTTCTCATCCCTTCTTCTCTTGTTCCCTGGGGAGGGCGCCTTGAGGTATAGTCTTCCTCCTACCACTGAATTGGCTTCCTCCTTTCAGATTTCCCTGCCCACCTACTGTCACTCCCAGCCCTTCCTTCCTTAGGTGAAACTCCCAGTATTCCCATCCAGAATGGTTTGGTACCAAGGCTCAGTCACCTGATGCTGTCAGAGAAGGCTTCAACACCAAACTTGGAGACGCAGTAGCCACCGCCAATAACAGCCACACGACCACCACAGCTGGACATGTTGACGACCCTGCCCCGAGCTTTCTTGACCATGGGCAGCATGTGGAGGGTCACTTCGATCAGTCCAACCAGGTTCACATTGATCACCTTCACGAAGTCCTCTTTGGTCAGCCATTCATTGGGACCACTGGGCAGGCCCACACCAGCATTGTTCACCAGGGCCCAGAGGCCTAGGGGCAAGATGGAGGGAGAAAGAACCAGTGTCTCTGGGAAAGCAGCAGTGTCCACCACCCACCAGCTCAGGGCTGCCAAGGATGGCTGAGCAGGTGCACAAGGCACAAGACAGCCAGGCTTGGGGCAGGGGGTGGGGAGATATTACAGCCTGAGGAAAGATGTGCCTTTTACTCATTAGTTTTCCCTGAAGGGGCACCTTTTTCTTATTCACATTAAGTCTGCCAGCTAGCTGGGGCTCTGTACCAGCTACAATCCAGGCTTTAGCTAAGAGCACCTAAGCTATTAGCTCTGGGATAAGAAATATGATTATCATATCAATGTATTAATATTTGAATCCCTTTCCCCATCATGCTTCCCCGCTCTATTCACCTAAGTATAACCAACTTCATTTCACATACTACCCAAATCCATTCATTCATCCATTCACACGTTCATCATTCATTCATTTATGAATTTACTCTGTGCCAATTAAAGAGTGAAGGAGACGTAAAATAAACAAGACAGGGTCTTATCCTTCAAGGAGCTCAGAAACCAGAGAGGAAATAATAATATTTGTATATAAATATATAAAACATTTAAATAAAACAATTATACAAAAATGTGAAAGGGCTCTTATATTTAAATTGTGTTGGTATAAATGGAGAGAAATAATGCTAAATGTTGTCATTCAACTCTGCAGGGGCCCAGGGTTGAAGAGCCTCAAGTCCTAGTCCTGGTTCTACCTCCTGCCTTTTTTTTTTCCTTTTTTTTGTCTTTTTTCGTGTCCGGCAACGGATCGCAACCCTCAGTGTCGCGCCCGTACCGGACCGGGACCGGCAACGGGATCGCAACCCTCGGTGTTGCTCCCACACCTCGCTCAGCCAGTGAGCGGGAACCGGTCTGTATGTGGGATCCGAACCCTCGGCAGGAGCGCCACCGCGCTCCTAAGCGGCGCACTGTAGCAGTGCGCCACCGGGCCGGCCCCCTCCTGCCTTGTATAAATCACTCTCTGTGCCTCAGGTTCTTCATGAGCTTGGACAAAAACAGTTTTTTGCAGTGTTTTGCAAACCTGCCAGGGGAGAAAGATGCAGGAGAAGCACTCCTTTTGTTTTACATATTGAGCTTCCATATAAAATTCCACTTGGGGGAGGGTGATGCTAAAAACACACTGGAAAAGCCTCTAAATCATCCTTAAGGACCCCTTTTAGCTCTTTCATTCAAGGATTCCATGAGCCCCACTGCACTGGCTCCTTCCCTTCCTCTCCCCCCATCCCATCGTGCATCCCCACCTTGGCCTCCACAGCCTCAAGATACTCTGCCAGGCATGTTCCACTCTCCCCTGAGGGCAGGTCTAGAGGCAAACATCAATCTTGGTCCACCGCTCCCTCTAGATCTAAGGTCTCCATCCAAGCCATGCCCCTTCCCTATCTTCCTGCCTTCCTCTAATTACAGAGACTCCAGTAACCAACTGGCTGGCAGGACTCAGAACCTTCCCAGCTGGAGGGGACTATCTTGTCTTACAGAAGAGAAAATAAGCCTCCTGAGAGCCAAAGTCTAAAAAACGCAAGTTGTCTCTGCCTGTGGAGAAGGGACACACACTCACCACTACCTCTGGTCATCCAGCAGAGCATGCGCTATTCTGCTGGGGAACCAGGACAACCTTATTATTGTTATTATTTTTATCTGCAAAGAACAACCAGAGAACAGTCAGAGCAGTGCTAACAGCTTTAGGGCTGTGCCAACCTCTCATGTCTAGGGGCTCTCAGGGGCAACAAGAAAGCATGCAAGAACTGCCCTGCCCGCCCCCCATTTCCCAGTGCTTCTTAGACCAAGGATGTTGCTCAGTGGCATAGCTAGAATAATGGGTCCCCAAAGATGTCCCCATCCTAATCCCTGGAACCTGTGAATATGTTGGGTTACATGGGAAAGAGGAATTAAGGTTGCTAACCAAATGATTTAAAAGTTGGAAGATTATCCTGGTGAGCCCCATGTAATCACAAGGGTGGTACTCCTAAGTGGAAGAAGGAGGCAGAAGCCAGAGAACCAGAGAGACAGTAAAAGATGTGTTCTATATGTCCAGGCCTGAAAAGGACTCTGCCCGACCTTGCTAGCCTTGAAGGTGAAGGAAGCGGGCCATGAGCCAAAGAATGCAGGTAGCCTGTAGAAACTGGAAAAGACAACGAAATGGACTCTCCCGTAGAGCCTCCAGAAGGAACACAGCTGTGTTGCCACCTTGATTTTAGCACAGTGAGACCCACTTTAGACTTCTCTCCTCCAGAACTACGAGATATGGATTTGTGTTGCCTTAAGCCACCACTTTTGTGTTCATTTGTTAGAGCAGCAATAGGAAACTAACATACCCCATGAGCTGTTAACACAAGTGGCTCCAGGCTGGGTGTAGGGAGCTGGCTGAGGCAGGCTGTTGAAGAAAGAGGCTCACCCTTGCTGAATTATTCATTAATAAGTTCATTCAACAAATATACCTTGAGCTTCTTATAAGGTGCCAGACACTATCCTAAGTACTAAGGATAGTAAATAAAAGAGACCAAAAGCTCTGCCCCCAGGAAGCTTTATTCTATCAGAGGAAACAGACAGTAAATAAGAAAGATACATTGTGTATTGAATAGTGATAAATGCTAAGGAGAAAAATGAAGCAGGGCTTCATTTACTATCTGGCTCCTCCCAGGCCCCAGGGCTCTGTTGTCACCACCTGTGCATGGACCCCAGATTAGTTCCTTCAGGACTGAGGACTTCCCCCAGGCTGCTGCTACTGCACTGAGCCACCCTGTTCATCCTGTTCCTGCGCTCATGGCCTGCATGCTGGAAGTTCTCTGGGCAGATTCCCTCGCAGTCCTGGTTCTGTCCCAGTCCACAGCCTCCTTTCCCAATAGGAGCAGCCAGTCTGACGTAGGCACTTGCCCTGAAGTCAAACCACCGTGACACGAGGAGAGATCTGTCTCCCCTGCCTGACACAGTCAAGAAGAGCAAACGCCCCCACTCCTGGAATGCAACCCTCTAGCCCCTTCCCCCTCTCCCTAGCCTGATTCCAACAAGAGATGTTCTTGTATTTATAGGAGCTGACGGTTAGGACTGCTGAAGTCTCAGAGAGGCACCTCCATCTTTAGAGGTTTGGACATAAGGAATACATCTTCCCTCTCTCACCTCCTATTGCAACCTCCCCCTGTCCCTCTGAGTTGCTGGAAGAGAAAACTCCCTCAGCAAATCACCCCTTCATGTGAACAGGCCAAACCATGCAGTGGGTTCCAAACTGACTTAGCCAGAGTCCCAGCCCCTTTCCCTACATCACCTCTTCCACCCCATTTTGCCATTAGGGTCCCTGATACTGTGAGACGCTGTGGGAGAGGAAAAGAAGGGTAAACCAAGAAAACTAAAGAACTAGTTCACCCCACCTTGTTCTCCCACTTGATCCCTCACCCACTGGGCCGCCGCCTGGATGCTCTCAGTCTTGGTGACATCCAGTAGGATGGTCTGCAGCCGGAAGGAGGTATCCTGCTGAAGTTTCTGGGCCCCCTCCTCAGTGAAGCAAGCAGCCAGCACCCTCATGCCCCGATCGACCAGCTGTCTGGCCAGCTTGTTGCCAAATCCCGAGTCACAGCCAGTGATGAAGACATACTTTTCCGAGAGGTTGCGGACCAGATTGCAGTTCTTGAACCAGCGGTACATGAAGGAGAGGTCCGTGATGGCAGCCATAGGGCGGAAGGGAGGTGATAGCCGCGAAGGATCAAAGGATCGGGCTCAGGAGACAGCCGGAGAGGCTGGTGCTCCTTGGCTCAGCAGGCAGCCTGCTGGAACCTGCTGGAGAGAAGAGCTCTCCTCCCTTCACTGCTTGCAACAGATGCAGGGCCCCTGGGTGAGCCACTGTGTAATTTTATAGGTGGATGCATCACCACACCAATTAGTCCAGATGCAAGAAATTCAAGTCCAACCTGCAGCCTTGTCACCTCTGACAGCCCTGGTGGCTGCCTCCCTCTCTCCCTCTGCTTTGATGGGTGAAGGTACCAAGGATGCAAAAGACCCCAACAGCAATGCCGGTGCTGAGTGGTGGCTAACCCGGTGGAGTGAGGGGGCAAGTGAAAAAGGAGGACTCAGCCCAGAGAACGCCCCCTGGAAATCCCCCACCCCAGCCCTACCCCCAGCCCAGGGATCAAAATCATTTGTCAAAAATGCAGACATATAAATAAATTTAATTTTTATTTTCAGGGGAAAAATTTAGGACAAATTCATGAATGCAAAAAAACAAAAATTGGTTCTGTGCCCTCCAAACCCCAAGAGAAATGAATTCCAGGTCATCGGCTCTGTGAGATTCTCAGGTGAGTCTTCCTCATGAAAGGTTATGAAAAAAAGTGTTTCCCCCAGCGGGGTTGTGCCTCCATTGTCTTGAGTCCCCAGGCAGCAGTGCCCCCCTATAGGGAGGCTGGTGATTGAGGCCCCAACTCCCAGAAAGGAGAAAGACTGGAGGGACTCAGGCCTGACTCCTCACAGGGTGATGTACAGGTCACCAGTGAGGAGCCCCTGCAGTACTCCAAGCAGGCTCAGCAGCCCATCCATGCCTAGCCCCCGTGACCAAGCTAATGGGGGAAGCCAAGGACTGAAGACACACCACCTTCCCCAACAGGGGCCCCCAGGGGCATCTTCCTTCCACCCCCAGGACCAAGCACATTCTAGATGGTCTGATGAGCTGAGGAGCCTGAAGGGGGGTGGTGATGGTGGGAGGAAGGGATTAAGAAGCCAGTGGCTAATTGGATGTGCAGAGGGAAGGGAGGCCAGGAGTCAAAGTGATTCAAAGGTATGGGGCCAAAGACAGGTAGAACCACAGGTGGTAAGAGAAGTCAGGGGGCAAGACACTTTGCATTTCGGGAGGGAAGGCAGGAGAGTAGAAGTTCTGACCTGAGCTCATTGAAACTGAGGTAGAGCTGGATGATGCGGATGGATCATGAGTTCACTGGCAGCTGAGGGAAGGGCCTGGCAGAGTCCTTGGCACTGAGAGGGGATGAGAAATAGGAGGAGCAGAGGACTGGGCCAGAGACATGGAAAATCCTCAGGGTCAGGAATTGGAGGGGAAGGAGATTCCAGGCCATGGGGCAACGAACTCATAGGAAGGTAGGAGGGAAGCTGGTAAAGGAAAGGAAATGAGGAAACCATACAGAGGTGTGAGTATGAGTGGTCACACCCAGGATTGCACAAGAGGCAGGAACAGAATGTGGCTGGAGACCAGGGTGGTTCCTTGGATCACCCTCCAGGGTCACCATTCTTTAGAATGAGTTTGGTCACCAGCTCATACCTTCTTGTTCAGAGGATGACACAGAAATGGGGCCACAAAGTTACCTTGAGTGATAGGACAAAGGATGCATCTTTATACTCCACTATTTACCAAGTCTGGCAGCCCCAGAATCAGACAAAGCAGGTCTCCTTGGGAAAGCACAGCAGGGCTTGGCCATTGTGTACCAAGGGTAGTGGTGAGGGGGTGAGACCATGGACCCATCCCTAAAGAGCAGATCCAAAGCCAATGGGGGATGGGGGTGGCGAGTCATGGAAGGCAAACCTCACATACTTCGCACCAGCCTGAGGCTGAGCCCTTCCTATAATAGATCTGGGAAGCATCTCCCAGTATCTGTCTGCCTCCTGTGTGAGTGAATGGGGGAGTCTTGGCTGTGAGAAGTCAGATGATGTCACTCAAGGGCTGAGCAGGCCCAGGACATGGGTGAGATACAGGGGTTGGCTCTGTGCCTGGAGAAGGATGACTCAGAACTGCCCCAGTGCAGGCCTGGGCCTGACTCAGCTACTTCCTAGGCTTCTCCACTGACTGCTGTCTAAGGTGTTCCCCTGGGCTTAAACTGAAAATTCAGGATGGGGGGTGCATGAGGGTTATGGGGCCTTGTAGAAGGCTCCTCCTCCCAGGGCTGGGAGTGCCTCCCACTCTCAGATAACAGGTCTCTTTGCTGAGCTGGCAACCAAGGCCCGAGGTGTCAGGCTGGTGGTCACCCTCCCACCCCCAATCTCCAACCCCATGGGCACAGGTACCTTTGGAGGGTGCCCTCACCTCCTCCAGTCCATTTCCATCCTGTGGAAGAGTGTGGACTGGCCAGACCAAGGCACACCATAAGGAGGTGGGCAGGAGTCAGAGCAGGTGTGAGCTGAGCCTCCTTCCACTCACACCCTCCCCAGTTGTGTGCAGTCCTTGAGCCATGAAGCTCATAGCCCTGAGTCGCTGCCCAAGAGACCAGGGGCCCAATATATGCAATTGGGTCTCTGGTCCTCAGATGTAAAATGTGGTTCTTTCCTCCTAATATCCCCAGAGTCCTGACTAATATTCCAGGAAAAACCTGAGGTAGAGGTGAGGAGGGGATGAGCTACATGACCCTGGAGACTTGAGAGCTCCCCTGCCTCTCACCACTGTATTTCCCACCTACTGATACAGCACCCAATACAGCACCCCAAACAGACCCTACCATGCACCACAGTCTTGGCTTCACAAGGCCTTGGCTGGCCTTGAGGAGCCCAGTACAGCAAGGTGTCCACCAGGAAAGTAGGCATGTAGTTCATGGGAAGGCAGATAAGTCTGGCATCTGTTAGAGGGTGCACAAAATCCATGTCATTTTGTGCCTTGTTTGCCATGTTGACTCCTGCTTATTTAACCTCGCTGACCAATTACACTTTAACCTTAAGGCAAAAGGAAAGGAAACATAGGTTTCAGGGAGTGAGTTATTACAGCAGGTGGCATCAGTGGCCTAAGCACAGACATCACAAGACACCCCCAGCCCCTGCACCCCCATCTCCCACCCTCCCCCATGCATCACAAGATATCTGGTGAGTGATAATATTACCTTATTTTTCTTAAGATGTTTCCTTGAAGTTATTCTTAGTAACAGGAACTTTTGCTGTATAATCATGGTCTAACCTGAAGAGAGAGCAGGCTCTCATCTGCTGATATTCCTATCTGTAAGTCACCCTGATTAATAAATATCTCTGATTACCAAATGGACCTGCCCACCTCCTTCTTCAGTCTTAAAGGACCTTCTCAGTTTGGAGGGCATTATAATTTAACCCTCTCCTTGCACAGCATCCCAGCCAGATGAGTAGCTGGTGCAGGGTGCAGGCAGTTAGTACATGTTTCATGCAGTCCATCACCAAGGGCAGATTCAACTCACATTTTGTCAAAATGCTTTCAATGTTTTGAATCTGTTCAGGATGAGGAAAAAAAAAAATCCTCAATGTACTTGCACATCCCTCTTCTCCCATTCACAGTTCTAAATTAGAAGGAAAGTTTCCAAGAACTCTTGGGACCCCCAAATCTAATCTATCCATATTCCCCAAGGAGTGCCCCAACCCTTACACCAGAAACAACTGTTTCATATTAAGCACATCTGTCTCTGTTCCTGGGAATATCCAAACTGCATCAATTGAAGGTCTCTGCTAATGGAGGCTAAGCACATGAAAACCAGTTGTCTCTAAAACCTGCTGGCCAAGATCCATGTGTGTCTTCCCTCACTGACTTTAGTTTCCTCTTCAAAATAATAAGAGGTTCAGATGACACAGTTGTCCCAATTCTAATAAGCCTGGATGCTTGCTTTAGGTGACCAGCTGACCACCATGGGAATGGGGCTAAATGTCCCCAAATTGTGGGGAAGGCAGAGCCTAGAAGATGGACACTGATACTGTTGGAGATACTAATGACAAACTCGGGCTTCCAGGTAAGGGTTTGCTTCTCTGTCCACAGTTCACTCACAGGACAGCAGAAACTTCTTGCCATAGATCTAGGCTAACCTGGTCCCATGCCTCTAGGGAGGACTACTCAAGCCTCTCAGCATTGGTTATGCCAGTCTTAAAGTAACCAGGCTTAATAACAGCCACCTTCCCCCCACAGTGGGAAATCTCCCTCCAGCAAAGCAGGCAGGCAAAGGAGCCAGGACTTTATAGGCCATGGGAGGCAAAATACAAAAAACAAATAAACCCAGTAAAAACCCAAAACAGGATTGGGATGGAATAAGTTAGAAAGCTTGGTGAGTTGGGAATCACAGCAGCCAACAGGTAAAAATTATGATTATGGGGCCGGCCCGGTGGCGCACTGCTATAGTGCGCCGCTTGGGAAGCGCGGTGGCGCTCCCACCGAGGGTTCAGATCCCACATACAGACTGGCCGCTCACTGGCTGAGCGAGGGGCGGGGGCAACACCGAGGGTTGCGATCCCGTGGCCGGTCACGAAAAAAGACAAAAAGGAAAAAAAAAATTATGATTATGGTATTACCTCTGTATAGAGTTTACATATTTTACATAATCTGATTATTGGCTCCAAATCCAATTCTGTTGCGGAGCACCACTTAAGGGCTATATTCTATTTCCCTCACATCCAATTATTACCAGATTTTGTTCATTTTACCTCCTCCATACTTGTCAGTGCCTTCCCTCTCTCCTCCACCCTAGAAACCCCCCTGGCCATCCCTCTGCTGGGCTATTGCAACTGTCTTCTAAGGTGCACCCTCTGCCTCCAGACTCAGCTTCCCCACACTCAGAGACATCCTCCGCCCTGCAGCCAGCGGGGTCTCTAGATGCTGATGAGACCAAGCAGCTCCCTGATTAAGTCCCTTCCATGGGGTTCTTTTTTTTTTTTTCCTTTTTTTTTTGTCTTTTTTCGTGACCGGCAATGGATCGCAACCCTCAGTGTCGCGCCCGTACCGGACCGGGACTGGCCACGGGATCGCAACCCTTGGTGTTGCTCCCGCACCTCGCTCAGCCAGTGAGCGGGAACTGGTCTGTATGTGGGATCC